GAGGTAGCCGTTTGTCCAGCAGGGTCCCTCGATTCTCAAACTTGGCAGGCAGTCCACGGCATCAGTAGCATTAATATCTCTAAGCAGATGAACAGGGACACAGTTTTCTACAGCAGTTCAATAGGCAGTAGGTTTTGTGGAGGGAAGGAGGGACTGTGGGCACAGAGTATGTTGCGGGGATTAGAAGAAAGTTCCTTCATAAAAAAAATTCCTTGGTGACAAGACTGTGTACAAACATTTAGATCATGACTACTCCTGTTTGCTCATAATTTCCCTTTAAAAAAAATACGGAAGAGATACTTTTCCACACGCTGATCCCTGACAGACGTGTTTGCTGCCAAGTTTTGGGAGGTGGAAACAGAATATTTTTGGCATTATAATAAGGCATATTAACGGAGACCCACATGTCTTTTTGTTTAGAAATCGAGCGATAGCAGATTACCTTCGTTCTAACGGCTATGAAGAAGCCTACTCTGTTTTTAAAAAGGAGGCAGAGCTCGATGTGGTGAGTAGACTTCTTGTGTTCCTGATAATGAGGGATCAGGTTTAACCTTCTAAACTGGCTGATCTATACTGCCTGCTTTTGTGACGTGGCGGAGACCAAATGGAACGGATTGCTTGTAAAACAACACCACAGATGGCCAGAATATTCGCTGATGCTTGATTTTTAAAGCATTGATAGTTTATAGATTGCGCCGGTTTATTAGGGCCGGTGAGATCCTGGGGCATATGTTGAGAAGGGTCTCTTCCCAATAGTTTTCCATTTAACAAGACAAGTGGGTTGAAATATTTGTGACAAGAGATTAAAAGTGCTAATTGCCTGCCCATGCTTGATGGCATCTGGTTGCCTCATCATAGCGGAAAGGAACTCCTATATTTAGATGTCTGTATGCACACACACCCAGTATCAGATACTGGGCGAAAAGGAGGGGAAAAAGAGTATCAAATGTGAATACCTCCTTCACAGTTCTGTGCAGTGTTGCATTCAGTTATTTCATTAGATATAAGTTGCTACTGAGGTTACATTTTACTCTTCCTATGGCTTTTCAGTTGATCTTCAGTTTTTAGAGTTGCGTGCATCCCGAACACAAGACATACGGAATATTATCCTGTACCTTCAAAATCTCAAAAGCACTAAAGAGGAGCAAAATGTTTGTTTTCCTCCGTGTTGTAATTACTGTGTGTTCCCCAGTTTATATCAAATAAAGTCTTAATTAAATATTGTCTTAATTCAAGCCAACGGCCTTTAATTATCCGAGGGAGAGCGTCATTGATTGGCTTGAACTGGGGCATTCCTTTCGGCAGTTCTATCCATGCGTGATGTACACAAACAGCTTTGAAATGAACATAACGTTACACTCGCAGCAAAAGCTGCAGGGTTGGTCCCTTGATGAGGGACCCAGATTGTGGGAGGGATTCAGCATAGGTAGTATAAGTGTGTTCAGCAGGAAATACATCCAGCTGAAATGCTGGCTGTCCTAATGGTTTTACGTTGGCTTTATGATATGTAGAGCAAGCTGGACATTAACTTAGAATGACATCAGTGTTGAATTTGCAGTAGTGTTCCGGGGGCTATATGTGATTCACTTTTATAGCTCTTTCCTCTGCCTTTCCAGACAACTAGTAAAATGCACAAACGAATCAGAGAAGGGGCATTTTTCAAGAGTTGCATTCTGCCTACATTTAGGGATCTTATTTGGGAATTGTCCCTGTAATAATGAGATTCCTTTTCAAGTATATGTCTTGTAAATAGAATTGTGTTTTTTCCCCCTTTATACTGTTCAGCCATTCCGTACATCTGTTTCTTCATAGAAATCATAGAAAAGTGAAGTTGGAAGGGGCCTACAAGGCCATCAAGTCCAACCCCCTGCTCAAGGCAGGAATACCATCAAAGCATATCTGCCAGGTGATTGTCTAAGTTTTTCTTGAATGCCTCCAGTCTTGGAGCACTCAACACCTGCCCTGGAGCACTCAACGCCTCCCCTTGAGGTCACACGTTCCATTGCTGTACTCCTCTAACAGTTAGGAAGTTTTTCCTTTTACAGTGTTCAAGCAAAAGCTGGCTTCCAAATCTGTTTCTTGCAATACAACTTTTGAAGTTGTGTGTTTTCTGCTCTCAGTTCACCCTGACCACATCTGCACGGCCCCATCTTCCTATTTTACTTTCTGCTGACCTCGTGTGAAGGCAATAAAACCTACATAGACATGACACTGTTCCCTCTTGTGTTCGATGCTTCAGCAGACCGTCCTATTCGTATCATCAAAAATATTAAAGAGGGACTTCACTCTTTTTTTCGTAAACAAAAGTATAATGAAAGTTGAATTGATTCAGCAGTCTTTGTAGAATTAAGTTGTTTGACGCAAGGTTATTCTTTCGGCTTTTACTCTCTGGGTGCTGAAAGTGGGATAGGGTATCTTGGAATTATCTGAAAATACACTGCAAATGACTGTGGAAAATTTAAATATATGTATGCTAATCTCCCAAAGTACCCTTCAAACCCCAACTGTTCTAACCGTGGCAGCACAGAATTTTGTCTGGTGTACCAACATACCCATGTGAAGCTCTTAGTTTCATTTCCCCAAATCTCATTCAAATAAAGACCTGGTTGTAACCTCCTTGTACACGTAATTGAAATTGGGGCTCGATGAAAAGCGTGTTGGCCTAGCCGCCAACCTCATTAAAAATCTTTCCCCCAAAAGGTAAAAAGGAGGTCCTAAGTACGCTAAGTCCTCTTGTTACCCAGCGGCCACGGGGGAGGCAGTTTCTCTTCCATATGAGAGGATGCGCAAGGAAGCCATGCATAGGGTCAATTAGGCAGAGGGACTCCTGATGAATTGAAAGCCACAAAGGAGAAAGCCAGGCATCCGTAGATTGAATCCCATCCAGGCAATGGCTTGAGGGTTACATTTGGCTCCCATACAAATTAGTTCCACGACTAACCCCAAATTTCCTAAGCACCAGGGGCGGTAAGGCCTGCACTGCAGCCTCTCTTACCCAAAGCGATAATCCAATTAACAGCCCTTACATTTTACGCCTGCCCTGCCTTTTCAAATTCCTACTATTTTCCCGGCCTCTTGAGATGCCAGAATCTAAAAGGTCCCTTGTAGCTTCGATCTCCCTTTTCATTCCCTCCTAGATTTTTAAAATTAAATCCCTTCCCTTGATTTGTCGGGCAAGCAACTTTTTTTCTGGCTGCAGCGTGATCGTTTGTGTGCCAAGGAATGGGAGCAGTTCTGCTAAGAGTCCCAAGCTGCTCCCTTGCCATGAATTCCTTCGCTTTTGGCCTGTAATTTTGTTGGGCGTCATTGGATTATAGAGCTGCTAGATTGTGCCATGCTAGACAGAGCTTTCCCCCCTGTTCCTTCCTAAACGTTGAGAACTTCCTGTAAGGAGTGTGACCGTTCCCCGAAGAAGGGAAGGCAAAAGCCGTGTGATCCGAGTGCTTCAGCGGAAATCGGTGTTTTTGTTTGTTCTCTGCACGTGATCATGTGCATCGTAGACATTGCTGTGGATAACAGTTCAGCTGTTGTTCAGAAGGGCGAAGGAGTGAAACAGTAGATTGTATAGGGGAAGTGTAAATTAAGGACAGATCAAAGTAATACTTTTTCATAGAATAACTGAGTTGGAAGGGACCTGTAGGGCCATCGGGTCCAACTCCCTGCTCAAGGCAGGGACGTTGCGTCAAAACAGATCTGACAGGCGATAGTCCAGTTTCTTCCTGAATGCCCCCAGCTTTGGAGAGATCATCTCCTTCCAAGGTTATTGGTTCTGTTGTTGTACCACTCTTAACAGTTACAAAGTTTTTCTGATAGTCAACCTAAATGTAGCTTCCTGTAGGTTGAGCCCATTCTTACATGTCCTGCATTCTGAGGCTATTGAGAACAGATCCTGCCCCTCCTCTGTATGACAGTCTTTCAGTTATTTGAATAGTGCTTTCTTGTATCTCCTCAGTCTTCTTTTATCAAGGTTACACATGCCCATTTCTTTCAGTCCTTCCTCGTAGAGCTTGGTTTCCAGTCCCCTATTCATCCTTGTTGCCCTTTTCTGACTTTTTTCCCAGTCTGTTGGCATCCTTCTTAAAGTGCAGTGTCCAGAACTGGACACAGTATTCTAGAGGGAACCAGGACCGCATGGGATTTGGAGTCTGTACTTCTGTTAATACAGCCTAAAATAGCATTGGCCTTTTTTCGCAGCTACATCACGCTGTTGGCTCATATTCAGCTTGTGATCTACGACAATTTCAAGATCCTTCTGGCTCGTAGTATTGCTGAGCCAAATATCCCCCACCTTGTAATTGTGCGTTTGGGTTTTATTTTCCCTAGGTGTAGAAACTTCACTTAGGTGTAGAGTTTCGCTTAACCTATGCCAATATACAATGGGTTGGAGAATGTCTGGCTCTCCTGAAGTTCCAGTTTTGCCTTCCAGCCTTCTGAGATCTCTTCTACCCTGGACAGGATTGTTTGGTTGTGATCCAGCCTTCCCTTATTCTTAAAATTTTGAAATGCCTCTCCCGGCAGGCTTATTTAAAATAAATGTTCTAATTCTCTTCCTCTTCACTCTCCATCTGGATTATTTTCATCTGCTCACTTCATCTGGGTTCACGTACCCCTGGTTTCTCAAGTGCTGAAGCAGAGATGAGTGTAGAGGTGCTCCCCAAATATTTTGAACCACCGCCCCAGCAGTCCTGAACCACGAGCTGGGGACGAGATGTGTCGTAGGGCACCAGAACGGTCTTACCCTGAGCTAGAAGATGACATTGTCATAAGAAGAGCCTCTCGCAGCATAAAAATAACTGTAGTTTGGGGAGAAAACAGTGCTGGACGGAGCTGGAGTGTAGTGATGGTTGTCTTTATCTTCTTTTGCTTCAGAATGAGGAGTTAGACAAGAAGTATGCTGGACTCTTGGAAAAAAAATGGACCTCAGTTATAAGATTACAGAAGAAGGTAAGTAGAGGCCTAAGTTAGAGGAAGGGTGGCAACATTTCTGCATCATTAGCCGAAGGTGAAGCCTGAAAGAGCTCTGAACACTTTATGAAGAACTGGAAGTAGTATGTAGAACTGGTGGGTTGCTCCAGGACCACTCTCCGTAGCTTTTATTATAGGAGAGCGCTCTAGTTTTTAGCTTTGCAGGAGCGCCAGATCCACAGTTCCAGCTGTCTGTGGTCACTGCTGTGGCAACACAGCCCACAGTGCACATGACACACACTGCAGTGCGCATGGGCACTTACCTCCTCCTCTCACCTCTCACTGTCTTTAGTGGCTTTGCAGTTGACCATAGTTTCACACATCTACGGTGTGTCGGGGAGGGGGCTTGGAACCTACCCCCCATGGGTGGGGTCCCACTGCGGTGTTTCCCCAAGAACATTGTTTCTGCTGCTGAGGCGCAAGATGCACTGCTCTTACACTCAGTTCACCCTTTTCACGGCTGGACCCTTCACCTCCGTGCGTTCCAGCAGATGTTCTGTCCGATAAATGCTCTAGTTCGGTGAACTCTTCTGGTAGGGCTACTGCGGGCAAAGTAGAGATTAAAGTCCTTGGGGCAAGGCAGATAAAAAAAGTGTTTCCTGTTGACGTGAAGGTTGAGGTGTGTCGCGTATGCTCTGGAGCTTGTCCTACAGGTTCTCAGTAAAGGCCCGGAGGAAAAGTCTCATTAGGGGATCCCAAGGTCTGGATAGGGGAGAGACCAGTGCTTGGGGAGGTACTGATTTTCGGACTGTATTTCCTAGAGTGCAGGTGCTTGACTGCAGATTCTGGATTTCCCCAGTTCCTTTGGGTGAAGGGTGTACCTCGAGCCAGCTGGGGTGTTGGGCCGCCTTGTTGCAGGGGCTCCACACGAATGGAAGGATTTAGCCACGACAACGTTTCTAGTCAGGCTGCCTTAGTAGCCTTTGCACATCTTTTGTCTGTTCTCTCCGCTTCCCTTTCTCCGACCTCCCCACTCCATTTAGGTGATGGAATTAGAATCCAAGCTCAACGAAGCTAAGGAAGAATTTACATCAGGCGGGCCACTTGGTCAGAAGCGAGATCCTAAAGAATGGATCCCCCGTCCTCCAGAAAAGTACGCCTTAAGCGGGCACCGGAGTCCTGTCACCAGAGTAATTTTCCACCCAGTTTTCAGTGTTATGGTCTCTGCTTCAGAGGACGCCACAATAAAGGTGAGAGGCCTTTCTAGCCTGGTTTGCGCTCCAAAAGTGTGTGGTGGTGTGACTTTGCGGCAGTGCTTTAAGTTGCTGAGAAGGGAAGGGCGAGCCTCTCCGTTGCGGCTTTTCCTTGTGTTTGGGAACTCGGTTTGTTGCAGAACCTCCTCTGCCCTGAACGACACACGTGTGAGAAGACAGCCAGTCTGAGGTGGATTTCCTTGCCTCACAAAGCTGTCCTAAACCATGTGGAGTCAGGACACAGGAAGTATGTGATTTGTACAGGCTTCGATGCCTGTTTTTATCCTTAGCATTAATGCTGATGCACCACCGGGTACGAAATAAGGGGAATAGTATTTATTTCTGAAATCCTAACCTGCTTCGTCTAGGCCCTTGCATTTGAAGGACGTTCAGAAACACTTCCTCCTCTATGTTCTGTCCTGCCTTGTTTGGTCAAGCCAGAACATCAAGGACGCACAATAAGGGTTTTTTTTTAATTATTATTTATAGCTGTCAGGTGACAGAGTTCCCTCTTTTGGAAACCTGCCTTAGATAGAAGCTCAGTAGAGCCCAGTTAGTTGCTGCGGGGGTCGCTCTGTGTCTTGGTTCTGAGATAGCAAAGGGCAGGCATCTTTGCCTAGGCATGAAAATGCCAGCTTCCTTTGGGTTGCAAATCTTGCAGAGCAGAAGGAAAGCTAGGCCTTCTGCCGAATATGCTGGTTTTTCCCCTGTGGAGAGAGAATGGTGTCCATTAGCAGAATTATCCAGTCATGTATGTGCTCCCACTTCCAGTCTAAGATGGCAAAACCCCAGGTAGAAGTTGACCTCCTGGGGTAGAGAGGTAGCCTTATATTTTATTAGCGGAAGACCCTTGGATGCCTGTTATACTAGCAACTGTTGGTCAGGGTAATGAGTTGCCTTTTGCTTTCATGGTGACCCTGTATGGTTGCGTTTTGTAGTACTGATCACTTTTTCCAAAGCATTTCCTTGAGTCATTGCAGGGTCGTCACACAACCCTTTGGAAACAACAACACAGCTTTTGTTGTGTCTCTGTGGTTGTAAGAGCCCTTGGTAACATCCCTTTGGGTCAGTGGGTGGGCCATAGAGGATTTAGGTTAAGAAGATTTTGAGGAAGATTCAGGGTTTCTTTTCTGGTTTACAGTATTTCTTCAATGTGCGCATGTGTCTTCAGAGTGGTCTGTTTATTTGTGTGTGCATGAGCTGTCTTGACTTGTAAAGTTATCTGGCTCTCCCAAGTGGACCTCATTCTTCCCGGCCCGTTTCACTAAGAAAGGAGTTCTTTTCCATCGGACGCCAGAGAGCTGCTTGGAACGCGGAGGAGAACAGGGAATCGAGCTGCAGTTTGCAAGGGCAGAAGTGACCGGCTCTTTGTCTGTTTCTTAGGTATGGGATTATGAAACAGGCGATTTTGAACGAACTCTGAAGGGCCACACAGACTCCGTGCAAGATATTTCCTTTGACCACAGTGGCAAGCTGCTGGCCTCCTGCTCTGCAGATATGACCATTAAACTTTGGGATTTCCAGGGCTTTGAGTGCATCAGAACAATGCATGGTAAGGAACCGAGGGAAGCTGGGACAGCCAACACGAGGGAAAATAAATCAGCGACACTTCCCCCCTCCCCCTTTCCTGGTGTCGATATGAGGAAGAAGGTGCTGGAAACACCATTATGCCTTTTCACACTTCTGGTTCCTGGTCGGAGGTCATATGAGCGAATGCTCCTCCATCCAAATAAAGTGTTTCTGCCTGTAGATACGTACAGTGTGGGGCCTCCATACGTGGGGGAGGAGCTGTCCTTAAGCACCGAGAGCTGGCGAGGAAGTCATCTGAGTGGCAGGAATGGGAGCCCATGTACTGTATGTAGACGTGGGTGGGTGGGTGCGGGTGGAGGGCTTCTCTTCTGTGGCACTGTGTTTGTGGACTTATCTTCCCAAGGACGCCTCCGTGGCACAGCCTCGGGCATCCTTTCACTCCCCAGTTGAAACCAGTTTCCTCTCTTAAGCTTTGGAAAACCTAGCACCTTCCACCCTTGGCTCTTAGCCTCGACCCTGGCATGCCGTTCATGGTTTTAGCCTGTTAAAGGTCTTCAAAAGTGTTTGATGGTGGTTGAAGTTGTTTAAATTGTCCTTTCCTCCGGCCTGAGATCACTAAACAAAAGTAAATGCATTAATAAGTAAAGTAAACAAGTCCTTGTGTGACGAAGAAGAGGAGAAAATGGTTTTGCATGGGAGCTGTGACTTGGAACATAAAAAGCGACAGAACCGGTGACCTGGAAGAGGTTCCAGAACAGGTTCACGAAGGGTTATGTCCAGATGGAGGCATCCCATTGCTGCCTGTCTGAGGGGTGTTTTTCCTGTCTTGGAAAATGCTGACCCTTTGGAATTTGGTTCCTCTTTCCTTGGATCTGAGATCTTTACATGCCTTGTGCTCCGTTAGCAGGATGAGATGGGAGCTTTGCCACGTAAACGACCCAGGGACCCTTGCATAGCGTCAGGACCGCTGGGTCCCTGTGGGAGGCCTTTTGCCTCTTGGGTCATTTCATCCCCCCCCCCCCCGGGAGGGCATTGTGATTGGCTCTGTCAGTCCTTGGAGCCCAGCGTTTGCCTGCTTTCTGCTTCAGGCCTAGAGCCGGGCTTGTGAAAGTTTCTTCGTTGTTCACAACTGTGTTTGCAGTGGCATTTTGCATGAAGAGATCATGGAGTGGAAAAGCTTGGGCGTGATCGGCTGGAGGGAGCTTTCTTTCCTTCCTTTCTCCTTCCCTGGTCCCTCCACCCCTTGCTTCTTGCCCCGGAGGGATGGAGCTGCCGACGCTTCTCTCCTGCCAACTGGGGAGGGCCCTGCCTGTTTATATCGGAGCTGCTCAGGGAGGTCCTTAGAGAACCTGAATCAGCAGGAGCGCATCTCTGCAACGGGCTTTGCAGACTCTGGATGCCCGTCGGAGGAAGGAACGCTGGGTTGTTTCTCCAAGGGACAGGAGAATTGGGGGGAGGGCTTGTAAAGAAATACCGGTGAGGGGTTAGGAAGATGGGAGGGAAGCCCAAAGTTTCCTGGGCATGGCTTGTACCATTCAGCTCGCGGTCCCTGAGGCGCAGGTGTGGCACAAGGGTGCGGCACAAGGGTCCTCAGTGCCAGGGGTGCTTAAGGGCGTTCACGGATTCTCGTGGGGTCTTGTATCTCGTTTCCCAGAGCAGCCAACCCAAAGGACACGGATCTTTCTAGCACATGGCTTTGGGGGAGACACCTTTCCTAAAGGTCGCTGTTCCACTTGCCTGTTACAGCTCATGGCCTATTAAAGAATCCACCTTTAAAAGCCAGCCACGGTCGAGGTCTATTAAAATCCGAGGCCTCGCCTGCTGCGGGTCAGCCTTTCTGCTTGTGCACCGATTTGGGGGTGTGACGCCTCGTTAGCTTCCACAGGGGCGATCTCGGCTTGAAACCGAGTTGCCAGCTGGAAACGGCAGGAGGTTATGCTCCGCCTGACTTTGACAGGGCAGATGCTGTACCGTGGGAGGGGATGGCTTTCCCTTTTGTCTATCCTGCACCCCTCCGCCCGCCCCCTTTTCAGTGTCTCTTGAAAACCCCATCTCTGCACCATAGGTGACTTTATGAGTATCCCTTACACGTTCTCCCTCCATGCCTTAGGCTGTTTTAAGTCTCTCCCTGCCTCAGCCCTTCTGCTAGGGAAAGAAGCCCTGGCCCCCGAACTGTTCTGAGCCCTCCTTTTGGTAGGCGTGTGCGGTCTCTTTCTTGCAACGTCTACTTCAAACATGGCTGCCCCCCTTCCTGTCCATGAAAAGGCAGCGGCGTGGATTACTTAGGGCTGATGAAGACAGGAAGCTGATATTGCAGAGTTACAAGCGAGACTGTCTGAAGGTGAGAAGCAGGACAGTCAGCTGACTGCTTCCTTGTCTGGTGCGCATGCTGTCACCTGGTCCTTCTCACTTTGCTGCATCATCCTTCCAGCTGGCGAAAAGGCTGCATGGCTCATGAAATGACCTGGGCTTCTCCCAGCTTGCTGGTTGTGCAGCAGTGATGACGATGCAGCTCCAGTGCTATTTTTCCAGCCTGTAGCTGTGTAGCTGATGAAAACATACTTCTTGCAGGGTATGGACAGAATGCAGGCTCATCCCCTTTTGTGCTTTTGCTGGGATCTAGACAAGTCACCACAGGAAGGCAGGGTTTGCTTGCCTCTAGCTTCCTGCAGAAGGTGACTGTTTAGGATCACGGAAGCGCCTCCTGGTGTCCCTTGAGCACTGACTCCCACAGGCTTTGTCTTGTAACGCAGCCACAGCAAGCTTAAAGTGAACGTGTTCTCTTTTGTCCTGTTTTTCTCTCCATAGGTCATGATCATAATGTTTCTTCAGTAGCTATTATGCCCAACGGGGATCATATAGTATCTGCCTCGAGAGATAAAACCATCAAAATGTGGGAAGTTCAAACAGGGTAAGATCTCACAGATATGTTCGCGTGAAGGAGAAAGTGTGGCCGTGGGCTGCAGAGAAGACGCCGTTGGTACGACTGAGGGTGGAGAGAGAGAGAGAGAGAGAGAGAGAGAGAGAGAGATTGAGGGTGGAGAGAGAGAGAGAGAGAGAGAGAGAGAGAGAGAGAGAGAGAGAGTGTGTGTGTGTGTGTGTGTCATACACGTGGGGACTACGGTCAGGGTGGGAACCCATTTTTTATGTGACAGAGGATCCAGGCTCAGTCCCTGCCACCTCTAATTTAAAAGGAGGACCTTGTTTAGGGGTGGGAAAAACTACCATCAGAAGACCCCGTAGCCCTGCTGCCAGCTGGCCGAGCAACAGTAGCTAGGTGGGCCTGTTGGCAAATCGGATGCATCGCCGCTTCTTGGGCCTGTTTCATATTTATTTAATTATTAATTATTTGATTTCTACCCCACCCCTCTAGACAGAGTCTACTTGGGGCGGCTTACAAACAGTTATAAAAACATCATAAAATACAATCATATAAAAGCATCATTATTACTATCAAAATATGGCATAGGCTGTTGATCTTCGGTGGCTGGGCTTGGACCCCAAAACTAGTCAACTATTTGATCTCAGATGAGTGAGGTCATGGGGCCCAACAGATGGTTACCTTCTCCATTCTCAAGCTTGGGTCCCCAGTTCTTGGATTACAACTCGTAGAAATCGCTCGGGGTGAAGGCTTCTGGGAGTTGTAGGCCAACCCGAGGCTGGGAGCCGCTGGTTTAAACCAAAAAGGTGGCTTAAAATGGGGGCGGGGGGGGCTAGGAAACGGGTATGTATTCCTACACTGACCGTTTGTTAGGCTCCCTTTTCAATTCTTGGACATGCCACTTGGTGACTGCCGAGAATGTGGCTGTCCGGTGGGTGTGCTTCCTTTCCCCCTGAAGGAGACCCATCGCATTGATGGTCTAATAAAAGCTCAGCAGGAGCAAAAAACAAACAAACATCTGCACCAAACAATAGCGTCAGATCTTTCTGCCACCACCCATTCGAATTCCCAGGGTTTCCTAAGGAGAAGGAATAGCAGATGAATGTGTCATCTGTGCAGGAACTCCGAGAGGGGGAAAAACTGGATGAGCGGGTAAAAACAAAGGGACCGAATGTCGGAGAAACAAAACGGAGCGAGGTCTTCTGTTGTCGGTTATGGTTAAAAATGACCCTCGGTTGTTAAACACAGCAATCATGGTAAATTTAGACCCAGTGCCTTCATCAACATGTAGACTTCCAGATTTGGTCAGTGCCAGCCGTGCCGCTCGACGAGAGGATGGGCCTTCTCCTTTCTTTCCCACTCTTCACTTGCCCGCGGTTTGGTGTCCTGTCCTGCTGGCAAGATCAGTTGTGCAGGATGGTGGGTGTTGCTCATCAACATGTAGACTTCCAGATTTGGTCGGTGCCAGCCATGCCGCTCGACGAGAGGACGGCCTTGTCGTCTCTTTGGTGTCCTGTCCTGCCTGCAAGATCAGTTGTGCGGGATGGTGGGTGTTGCCAAAGAAAAACACCCGGGTGTGCGTCTGTGTGTGTGTGTGTCAACGGCAGTCCGTTTATCCTGAAGGGCCTCCTCTCCGCCGTTTCCTTGTTCCGTTTTGCAATGCCTTCATCCCTCTCTCCTTTCTCTCCCCCCCCTTTCCTCCGAACAGCTACTGCGTGAAGACTTTCACGGGACATAGAGAATGGGTCCGTATGGTACGGCCTAACCAGGATGGCACCCTCATTGCCAGTTGTTCTAACGACCAGACTGTGCGCGTCTGGGTCGTCGCCACGAAGGAGTGCAAAGCCGAACTCCGAGAGCACGAGCACGTGGTCGAGTGCATCGCCTGGGCCCCCGAGAGCTCCTATGCCACCATCTCGGAAGCGACGGGATCGGAGGTAAGGGGCGGGCGGCTCTCCCCCTGCGATGATATGACAACTTTGACTCGTTTGTTGACGAGTCAGAGCCATAGCAGAGGAGGCTCGGGGCTGCAGCCGATCCCCTCCACGAAGGACTCTGCCTGCAAGACGTTGTGGTTCTGGGGGAAAGCCATGGCTGTGAAGCACAAGGTGTTTTTTTTTTTAGGCGAGGGGAGAATGTGTGGGTGGCCGGTGGTGGCCTTACTGTGTTGGGGCTGGGGTTCAATCCCTTATGGATTTAGGGGGATAGAAGTGGAGGTGGTGGGTTTTCCTGGATCAGTTTTGAAAAGAAGGCTGTAGAAGCTCTCTTCAGGGAAAGCCTCCCTTTCTTTTTTTCAAAGGGTGTGTTTGCCATGCGGTCCATCTCTGGGAAGAGGCATCTGCACCAAGAAAGTTATTTTAAAAAAGGAAAAAGATAAATTGTAAGGAGCTTCTAGTTGGGACAGCCCTGTGGCTCAGAATCCTCTCCCCCCCCTTTTTTTATTAAAGGGTTTTTTTTCCTGGTAAGAAAAGAAGTTAGAAGAATGATAAGATGGTTGCAAGTGGAAGAAGATGATGAAGAAGGTTGAGATAGAATTGCCCTCATAATCAGGCTGCGTTCTGGGGCTTTCGTTATTTTAATTGAAGTGCCGCTGTAACATTAGCCCCCCCCCCCCCATTTGTTGCCTTTATTATTGTGGCAGGGTTGCTATGCATTTTTTGTCAGCTGCCTTAAATGTTTTAGAAATGGTGGGCCTTGAAAATGTTAAGAGAAATAAGGCGTCTCCGTGAGCTAAGCCCGGGTGTCAGAAGACCTACTGAAAAAGTCTTGCAATAACATTTAAAAGGCCGGCGTGTTGAGGCCATAAGCTTTTGTGGACCACTTCACCCGTTGCATGGAGTACGCAGGAACAGAATAATTTTAAACACTTCTAAATTGAAAATAAATCGCAGGGACGGCTTAGATGTGAGCAGAAAACAACCCCTCAAGCTATCTCTCTTTGAAAAGATCTTTAAAATGAGTATTAACTCTGCATTGAAATTAATCAAGCGGGCGTGCCACGAGCGCCTCTAAGCCAGGCATTGTCCCTCTGCCGATTGTGTTTTCAGAGCAGAAGGCCGTCCTGTTTTGGCAGGCAGGTCTGGGTTTGGCTCTCGTGCCGAGGATTTGTATGAGGCGGCCTGATGGTCGTTTGCCGAACCAAGCGGTTGTTTTTGTGAATCCGTTGGGGAATGAAATGAAAAAGCCCCTTTTCTCCAGGCGAGGCATTTTTCAGACTCTTGTGTCCCCGCTGGGAAGACCCTAACCCTTTGCTAAGCCTTCCCCCACCTCTATTGAGGGGTGGTGCCCCACTGGAGAGCAGGACCAGCTGATACGGGAGAAAGGCCCTCCCATCTGCAGATGCCCTCGCCGGGGCCATTGTGGGCTTCAAGGCTTGAAACGGTGTGCCAGACCCTAAGTACCGTGGGTGTCCTTTTTTTGGGGGGGGAAGCAAGTCCCCTTGGGTGACCCAGCGGCTTCCATTTTGAACTGGCCGTATTTCTCAGTGTGCTACCAAGGCAAAGCCCAGTGAGAAGAGTTTCCAGCCGTGGAAACCTCGGCCCGTGCCAAGCACAACTGGGTCAAGCAGTCAAAGGGGAGCAGCCGAAGGCTGGAGGAGAGAAGCCTAAGGAGCGCCCGAGGGTACAGGAGCCGGAAGGGTTTGGCCTTCTGCTTGATTCTGGAGAGCCTGTGGCTGGTCCCAGTCCCGAGGGGGTCAGGCCAGCTTACAGAAATCTCATTGCTGTCATTTTTGGAAAACTCCCGTGCGACCGTGACGTGGCACGGATGGTCATCGTTTGCCATTCACTGTAGCCGGTCAGTTGGAATCTCAAGGATTCCTCCAGCATTTGGGGGTCTGTTAGTCAACCCTTTTGCCCAAACGGCCCTTTCAGCAGCATCTGCATGAGAGTCTGGACCCCCTAGTAGCCGAAACCACACCTTAATTGCCAAACGGGGGTCCCATTTTGCCAGAACCCCTGTCTCCGGAGGACCCTTGGAATCTGGTCCCGTGTCCCTTTTGTGAAAGAGGCTTCAGAAGCTGTCATTCAGGTCACACCTCTCTCGGCCGACTGCCAAGCGGTGGCCCTTTTGCCGTCCCCGCCCTCGAGGACGGCCCGGATGCAGGAGAGCCCCCGGGATGGCCGGCCAGCCGGCTGCTGAAGCACATTCTCCGTCTGCGCCCATCCTGGCTTGGCCGTTAATGGGAGCAATTGTGGGGGGGGGGAGGGGTGAGACCTCCAAGATACGTTGCCGTCCTCTTCAAAGCGGGGCTTGTATTTCGTCCAGGCATCAATAGTCGGCTTTGTCTGGAGCCTTTTTGAGGCTCGGAAGAGCGGCCGATCATATGATGAAAACGCCTCGGGCGCCTTAGCTCTGCGGCCTCACCCAGAAAGCACCTCAGTGCACCTTTCCTTGAATGTTCGAATCTGCTCTGCTGCCTTTTGGGAAAGGGGGCGGTTTGTCAGCTCTCTGGCCTGGAACGGGGACCCCTTGAGACCGGAGGGGGGGGGTTGGCACAGTTTTCGATTTGTTTTGTTTTTAAGAGGGAGGTGTGGTTACGGACGTGGAGTGCCGGTGGACTAAATTGGTGGAAGTAATCAATTTATTTGTTTAATTAGCTTTTAATACCACCCATCTGGCTGCCAGGGCCACTCTGGGCGGCTCACAGCTCGAGAACAAATAAACAATAATATATATAAAACAATAAACCCTAATAGCCAGGGCCACTCTGGGCGGCTCACAGCTCAAGAACAAATAAACAATAATATATATATATAAAACAATAAACCCTAATAACGACCAAAAAGCCAAATTAAAAGATCAAATAAACACAAAGCAGCAGCATAACTAAAATCTCTCTCCCTGGCAAGACCAGCACAAGGGAGCCGAAGGGCCGTGCTGTTGTGATACAGGCGCTCTGATTTGGCTGAAAACAATCTTTTGGAGTATCTCCGTAATCGTTTTAATACCTTTTAATAGGGCCTGTTGAAACCCAGACTGTAGCGACCGCTTACGTTCCCCAGAACAGTTCTCCACGCTGGGTGTTAAAAGCGGATCTTCAGAAGCCTACAGCCTGTTTGGACCCCAGAACTGACCAGAGAAGGTCAGGGAACCCTTGTGTGTGGTCACAGAAGCCCCCCAAAAAATCTGGGGTCGGGTACTTTTGAATTCCATTTTGTTTCTTTCCCAAGAAAACTCTGGGCTCTTTCTGTCCTTGGGCAACAGCAAGTGACTGCCTGATTGTCCGTTTTATTTTCTTGCTTGGATAAATCCCAGCGGGCTTCAGCCCCATATTCTTTTCAGGGCTTTCTTGGGGGGGGGCGCAGATTTCCAGTGAAATTAGAATTGGTTGCAAATAAATAAAAGGAGTGTTGAAGGCTTTACTTATATATTAAAAATGTATTGCTGAAAAGTATGTAAAAAGTCACAGCAAATTTTCTCATTCTCCTCTGTGTCTCAGCATGTGACACTCCATCCAATTAAAAGGGTCAAATGCTGTGAGATTTTTCATTCCTGTGTGAGAAAGTAGCAACCAGCCCTTTTTGCACCGGTAATACAGTTGGGAGGGGGGGGAGAGAATCTGGGTTGGTTTGTGCAGGACAAAAAGTTGTATTTTGCATTAGAAGCCTTGCATTTTATGCAAGGTTTGCATGAAACCCAAAGTTAGAAAAGGCCTTCAGTTTTTCACAAACTGGCTCAGAAGCTAACTGTGCAAACAGAAAAGTCTTGTAACGTTGCCCTGTGGGAGAAAACTGTTTTATTCTTTCATCCTTACCTGTGAGAATGAAATATGTCGAGGTGTACATTCCTCCTGGCTGAGCTGTCACTTAACTCCTGGGGTGGAGGCACCATCAATGCAGGCAATGCCTGACGTAGTACAGTACGTAAAATGTTTTCGCTTTCCGTAATCGCTTTTTTGCCTTTGAAGTCTGAAAGCCGGGTTGGTCTGAAGTGCACGAGTCCTACGAAGGCAGACGTATCAGTTAAACAAGTACAGTATCTTACATCCCCAAAACTGGTGGCTCATTTTAGAAGGCGCTCTCACAGAGGGCAGTTAGAGTTGAGATATGTGCCTAGGTGTCGTATATTTGGCACGAGTGATGCTGGGAGCCGGCTATTTGCCCCTGGCACAGCCCCTGGAGTGCGCCAGGCCTGGAAAGGGGCAAAAACAGAGATTTTTTAAAAGCCAAAGCTGGACGTGAGCAGATGCCCACATCCAGGCTTGGGTTTTTGTTCATCTTGGTGCCATGCCCACCCCTCTGAAAAAAAGACTCCCAGTAGCCTTTAGAGGCCAAAAAACCCACATTTTTTCCTGGGAGGAAAATCTTGATAATGGCCATGCAAGACCGCACCATTTTTCCTGGGAGGAAAATCTTGATAATGGGAAGGTTTCCAGTGGGGCCTCAGGTCCCCCGTGCTTTGCTCCCATGGCTTCATAGCCCGCACTGTCGAGAAGATGACAGGATCGGTGCGGTCTTGCATGGCCACGCCAAAGAGGCTGCTCTGTGTTTGCTGGACCGAGGCTCTTTCGAGAACCCCGGGCAGCCCCTGGCAGTTGGGGTTTGAGGGTCATGACTTGCAGAACCATTTTCGCTGCCTCTCCTTTTTTCTTGACTTCCGAATGAGACAGATGGTTTTACACTCCTTTGCCATGTTGTGGTTATTCTGAACCCTTAAAGGGTAGATGATCTTCTGCCCTTGCACTCGCGTGGCGCAGAAGAGGGGTTCCTGGTTCCTGGAATATTGTTTTTCCAGGTATCAGCTTGCCTTCTGCTTCCCTTTAGGTCTCTGCTTCCTTTTTTTTCCTGGGTTCCTGGTTCCTGGAATATTGTTTTTCCAGGTATCAGCTTGCCTTCTGCTTCCCTTTAGGTCTTTGCTTCCTTTTCTCCTGGAAGGGCATTTATTCCACGCAGAGCGTTCCCATTTCATTTGGGTTTTTGTTTCCTCCCAGACAAAGAAGAGTGGCAAGCCTGGGCCTTTCCTGCTTTCCGGATCAAGAGACAAGACCATTAAGATGTGGGACATTAGCACTGGCATATGCCTTATGACCCTGGTGAGTTCCTCGGCCCTCTCTCTCTCTGCCTGAAAAACGGGCATCGAAGGAGAATTCCTTGGGAGCAACGACCCAAGACAGCAGGATGACCACCTTCTGAGAAGAATAAATACAGTATATAAATTAAGGAGGACATTCTATGGAATGGTTAGGACCGGAAAAAGATGATGAGAGATTAATAGGGACCACCTCAGTGGGAAGGTAACAGCGTTCCGTGTCTAAGTCGCACTGGCCATGTGACCACGGACGATTGTCTTCGGACAAACGCTGGCTCTATGGCTTGGAAACGGGGATGAGCACCAACCCCTAGAGTCGAACACGACTGGACAAAAATTGTCAAGGGGAACCTTTACCTTTACCTTTACCTCTCTCTGCCTGAAAAACGGGCATCGAAGGAGAATTCCTTGGGAGCAAGGACTCAGCGGGGCTCCTTCGTGACCCAAGACAGCAGGATGACCACCTTCTGAGAAGAATAAATATATAAATTAAGGAGGACATTCTATGGAATGGTTAGGACCGGAAAAAGATGATGAGGAAGAGAGAACAGTGTCTTTCTATTAGAAGTTTTTTTGGGGGGGGGGTTGTTAGTCTAATGAAGGCATGTGGGGGTCAGGAGCAGAATGATCTTGGTGCTGGACTTTGACCTCTATGATTGACCCTCTCTCTCTCCCCCCCCCTCTTTTGAAGGTGGGCCATGATAACTGGGTACGTGGTGTCCTATTCCATTCTGGGGGGAAATTTATTTTGAGCTGTGCCGATGACAAGACCTTACGTGTCTGGGACTACAAGAACAAAAGATGCATGAAGACTCTCAACGCGCATGAACACTTTGTTACCTCGTTGGGTACGTCCCCGCGGAGTGGGGGGAGGCGCGTGGTGCGGGCGGGCGGCAGCCACGTCTTCTCCGTAGGTGGTTCCGGTAGCTGCAGTTAGATGGAAATGGGCCATATTTTCCCCCAAGCAGAACCTGACCCTTCCGAGAGAGAGTAGTGTGTAAGCGGCTGAGGTCTCCAGAGCCCAAAGTGGGGGTTTCGATTTCCCCCCATGGGGCCTTCTGGACAGGGGGCCAAGCAGAACCTGACCCTTCCGAGAGAGACCAGTGTGTAAGCGGCTGAGGTCCCCGGAGCCCAAAGTGGGGGGGTCGATTCCCCCCACAGGGCCTCCTGGACAGGGGCTGGACCGGATGATCCCACAGGGTCCCAAGATTTGGCGCTGTCTCTTTGTCTTGGATGGACTGAAAAATCCCTCTCCCTTCCGATCTGTAGAGACCCATTTGGGAAGTTGCCCATGGCCTTTGCTGCCGAGTGAGGCCTTTTGTGGGCCTTTCTCTCTCCCCCACCCCGAGAAGAGGCCTCCCACCCTGAATCTCAGGGTCGATCTTCCAGGCTGAATAAAGAGGGCCTCCGCAGATGGGAGCATCGGACGAGTCCCTCCCCGTTTTAAGCTCTCGGGGAGCCAGTCTCAGACCGCCTGCTCACACAGGGATGGTCTGGGCAGAACTCCCTCCAGAGAGGGGCTTCTCAGGGGTGGCTCCCAGGCTTTCGAACCCCTTCCCCAAAAGGGAGGCCAGGCGCCCCCTCCCCTCCTCTCTCTTCCACCAAGCTGGTAAACCTTGATTAAGCAGCAGGGAGAGGTTTTAACAGGAGCCTGGGCGTTTGCTTTCTCCCCTACAATTCTTTTGGATGGGTGTATGCCGCCTTTTTGGACGAGTCCCTCCCCGTTTTAAGCTCTCAGGGAGCCAGTCTCAGACTGCCTGCCCACACAGGGATGGTCTGGGCAGACCACAAATGTTAAAACAGACAGACCACCAGAAGTGTGGGTCTTTCAGCCGCGTTAAGACCCGTGGCTGTTTCTATGGCCCAGGGGTGCAAATTTATTTATTTTTTAAAAAAATTGTTGTGGTTTACTTCATTCGCTACTCCCAGAAGCCTCCAGAAATGGCCATGTTCCTCGAAAGCCCCATGTAAGACTTCCCAGGCGTCGTATCGGGTTTGCATG